CTGATGCTTCCTAAGGGGGGGGTGGGGGGGTGGGGGAAATGGGGTCTTTGCTCACTTTAGTTGAGCTTATATGTGATGCTGATACAACAAAAAGTCTGTGCTGTATTTATACTAGGCTTGAGGGAATGATGCTCTGTCGCGTGCATGCGTGTGACTTCTCTGGACTACAGTTCAAAAATACACATTGGAGAAACTCTTTTCACATAAAAGGAGATGGGTTTACATATATTAACTACAGATATTTATACAGAGGAGGAAGTAGGACTTCAGTTTCAGGACTCTTACATAGGTAGTGTCTTTGAAGTCAAGGTTTGATGCACTTCTGACTCACTAAGATGAAAGACCTGGTATTCTCACGAAGACTTGCTTAGCTGTGCAAAGTGTCGCTGGGGCCGAGTTCACAGGCAGGCTGCGAAAACTTAACAGAATGGACCGTCTCCTGTGTAAGTGCCTGCCTGGAAAGTAATGCCATGGCCTCTGTGAGAAACTCTGTTCTTGCTGTGATGATAGCATTGGTGGGGTGTGCCTTCAGCATGCCTTTTCTTTTGTGATAGTCTACTCTTTCATTCACATAGTTCTCCTTCATCTCTTACTCCTTAGATCTCTCTGCTGCAACCCATATCCTCCTTTCTCTTTCCTCCAGAGTTGAATTCCTGTGTCCAGTTTTACTCCAGCCTTCCAAGGAAGGCTGACAGTTGACTGGAGGGAGTGGGAAAGAAAGGCGACAGGAAGGTTGTGCTTGTAAAAGCTAGTGTCATGCTCTGCCTTAGGACATGTTGGCGACTGATGGTTGTCCTGTTGTGATTAGTGGGGCTCTGCCTACATCAGAAGGTAGCATAGTCTGAAGCCACTATCTGTGGAAGGAACTTATTCACCAGAAGAAGAAAGCAAGCACATTTATTTGCAGATGTTTGATCATGTGTAGGGGTGGCTTTTTGTGCATTGGTCTGCAGTTGTATTTATTGAAGCTGTACATGACAAATTATATAGAGAGTAGGCTGAGACTACTAAGTAGAATATTTCTATGTACTACTTCAGCTGTGTTTGTTGTTTTATAACGATATCTGTGTTATTTGACCATCAGAGACACAGATTTCCTTTAAACTGGAAAGAAAAACTGAGGTTCCCACGGTGTCTGAAAGACTGTACATCCTGCCTCAAACTCTCTTGCTAAACGATGTCTCGGTCCACTTTAAAAGCGTTCGAAGCAGGAGCTTAAACTAAAGCCTTGCTTTCATGTTGCATAGCAGGTACAATGCTGCATGTAGACAGCCTGCTGAAATCAATGATACTGCACTGGGGAGGGTGAAATAAAGTCTTTGCTAATAGCTATTTGGAAGTTCTGTTTATTCATCAAATCCTGCCAAGTGTGTATTGAAGCACTAGCAGGTTTCCTGTTTGCTTCTGACATTTTGTGTCCCTTGGAGGTGAGTTTGGGGTTTTTTGTAGTTTAGGTTTGGGATTGGGGTTTTTCTTGTTTCTCTTTTGGCATAAGAGACCACTGTTAGTCACCTGGTTGACAGAATTGACACTGCTATAATTGCAACAGTCGTATGAACAGCTTTATTTTAACCTGTTAGCTGTAGCTTCATTTCCCAGACAGCTGCTGAGGTATGCAGGGGAATACTAGGTGACCTTGCCACTGTTGAAACTCCTTCCAGGACTGCATTGGCTGGTTTTGGAGCATATACCCTTCCATTGTCCTTAGTGCTTGCAAAAGCAAGAATTTTTGATGAAACCAAAGGGTGAGGAGAGGTGCATGTGTTCTACAAGAAAGTGGACTTTCAAGTACTGATAACTTTACCCAAGGAAAGAAGCTTAAGGGCATATTTATGTGCTGCAGTTTGTGCCTTTGAAAATCTTTTATGATCATTAAAGAGTAGAATGAAGACTTTGATATATTGTGTTTTGAGAACTGGAGTACTTTATAGTTTCATTTTAACTGCTATTTTTAGGAGTCTAGCTTTTTTGCACCCAAAGTAGCATCCTATTTTTCCCTTGTCAAATAAGGCTATAACAATCTAAAGTATTAACACAAATGAAAGCTCTGAAGAAAGTTATTAAGATATATGTTTTAAGCGTGGGCATTAGTGTTTTTCATCTCAGTGACTTGACTTTATTGTGCTCATAGAAAAACAATTCTCTAATATTTTCATTCTGATAGTTTCATTAAGCATGAATTCCTGTTTTACAAGACTAACTTACTGCAAAATACCGAGGATATGGAATTCTGCTATTTCTATGCATTCTACTATGGCAAAATTAATATCAAGACTAAATTAAGGGAATCCAGTTTGTGTAATGGAAGCAATGATGGAGCTTTTGGGATCAGTTTGGGATTCCAGAATTTAGAGCACATTACTGAGCCAGCAAGCTATATAAATGTAATTTAATTTACAATCTTTATTTTGTAAGTCGTATATAATCTTTTCAGCAGCAGCCAAATTCAGCATACTTTTAAGTTGCATTTGTCCTGCATTTCTTTCCTTAGGGAGATGTGGCATTTTGCTCAATGAGAAAATGTGACCAACCTTCCAATAGCTGATCCAGATTAAGTAATAATTAGATATAATTACTGTTCCTAGGGGGAAAGTAATTCTGCCTTATTGAAATTCTTTTATCTTCAATTAACCTACTCTGTTCTTACTGGAAATATTAAGTGAAGTGCCATCTTGCTCTAGGCACTTCTTCCAAAGCTGCTAACATTTATTTAATTTGCCACCACTGCTCAGTTTTTGCAGTCTAGTGAGCCCCTTGTGTGTAGGTGGCACCAGTAAGGAGGAGTGTGTACTTGAATAGCACTGGACTTGCTGAACACCTTGTTAGAGCAGCCTTCCATCCCGTTCATCTGCTTCTGTACGGATCGATGAGGGGGGTTGGTGACCCGCTTTTCTGTCCTCTCCCTATATCTTGCATTAGATTTCACAGGGTTGTGGAAGAGGAGGAGTGATAATAATTTCTTTCTCTTTCTCTTTTTCTGCCTAGTAATGAACTAGGTTTTATTACTTCTGCTGCTCATGGGATCTCTTGTGTAACTTTTGTTCCATTTTCATAGAGCAACAATAACCTTGCTTGGCATTAACAGATCCAATGCATATGTGATGTGCAGGTTATTTGGAATTTAGAGGTCAGACCCAGAGTTTTCTGGCAGAACAGGTGTCCAGGAGAGGAAAGACTAGAGCCTGAGGGACGCTGTCTAGCTCAGTTCTAGTTTAGGTTTGTTTGGATACACCTTCTCGTTAGAAAAACATCCTTCTTTCTGTGCTGACAAACTGTATGTTGAATGTGTCTATGGTTTTGACTACAAGTATAAACCTAAAACTATTTTGAAATGGTCAGCTGGTAAAGTGTGGGATACAACTGGCTTCAGAACTGAAACAGGTTTATGTTGCAGCAATTTATCCTGGGGACTTTGATTTCATTTCAATTAACAGAATCTATTTTTTTATGCTTACAAACCCATTAAGTTAGTTGGGTAGTCAACGTCATTCTTCATTCCCTGCTTCTTGTTTTCTCACTGTTCTTTATCATTCTGTACAGAGTAAATCTAATCCAGTATATTTCTGGATGTAGCTTGATCATATGGGCTAGCACTCTGCTGTCTTCTGGGGGGAGGATGTAAAGAACTGTTAAGCCCTTTAAATAGACTAAGGTGATAATTTAGTATAGTCAGCCATACCCCGCTAGCTAACATAGCAATGCACTGACAAAGCCAAAAATTAAAGCAAACGGTAAAGTTTAGTCTTAAGGAAAATTTATCCACAGATCTCAACGAGCCTTAAACAAGTAAATATAAGGAGCAAAATTGTCTTCTGTTAATTCATGTTGACGAAATTTCCCAAAACTGGCTCATCTATAGAAGAGAACATCAGATCCTCAGCATCTTCTTATCCAGGTAGTCATTTGTGTCCTGCACCTGCTAGCACAATTGTGAATTTTAGGCTGGAAAAATCATGTGTGGATGTTTGGCAACTGCTGGTAACTGAATTTGGGGGACCATTTATTTTGACGATACTTAGAATAAGGATGACTGTAAAAGCCAAATGCATCCATATCTTAGGCCTGAAAACTTTTAATTTTTGACCTTACTTGTTCTCTTTGCCATTTAGCTTGTCTTAGTTTTCATTAGTAGCTTCTCAGTCCAAAGTGTAGTGTGTCATTTTTATTGAGAAAAAACTAGCTTTCAGAAATATGTTATACACCCTACAAATTAAGCACTAATTCCAGCTAGCACATCTTAAAGTGTGACACTGGCAACCTTTTACATGTTTATCATCAGTTGTGCTGTTTTAATAGTGACTTCACATCAGAAAGCACTTATGTCAACAGGTTGTTTAAGGAAGATAGCTTCTTTTTCCTCCTGTTTGCTAAACAAATATTAATTTACTGTACTACCTCAGTCTGTATCTTGCCTGCCAGCTAACTTTTTGAAGTCTGCATTGCAGAAGTTCACAGTGGTGCCCTTTGGGACCAGGTGACCTGGGAGGAAATATCCCACTACTGGAGTAATTGACAAAGTTATGTTTTCCGTGTATTTTTGAGAGGGTTTTTCGCTAGCCAATTTCAGTTTTAAGGACACAACTGAGGCTTTCTTTTGAGGCTTTTTTTGAGGTTCCTTTTTAAATTACATGTCACTTGAAAATTTTTATTGCTTGGAGACTGATATTTTGAGCATGGTGTTGTAGCCAAGGAAATAAATAATTTTGAGGTTTTCCCTTCCCAGAACTCTGTCCATCTTTAAGGTCTTGAGGGTAATAGTTAGCTCCTGATAGGTGCTTGCTGCTGCTTTTGGAAAGGAAAAGAGAAAGCACTAAGGGAAGGTTTTTTTCTTTTCTCCCTTTTTTTTTTTTTTTAAAGTATCACTTCCTGGTTTTCTTTTAAAATGCAGCTACTATCTGTTGGCTACAATAGAAGTGATATATTGGAAACAGATGGCACACCTATGCAAAAGACTTAAACCTGATGCATGGACACACATCCATCAGGAGCCTTGAGAGAGCTTAGTCTATTGTATGGTGACCACCAGTTGAGTATTCAAAGACAAAACATACTAAGATCATTTCAGTCCATCTTGCATATCTCTTGAGTGTGTCTGGTACTCATCTGCATAAGCAAAAGTGTGGTCATTCCTATAAATGACAGTTGGAGTGTTTATATTACAGTCCTGTGTTTTATAAGTGCTCTTGCGAAATTACTGCAGTTGATTCTAGAATGTATTCCAACTAATGGAAAACTTTACAACCTGTAACTTGTTGACAAATCAAAAGTTGACCTGAATTTCTACCAGATGCAGTCTCCTTGGTTGACAGACATTGACAGCACTAAAACATTGGAGTAGGACCTAATGGAATTAATTCACTGTGTACAGTTGGGTATTTTTAACATGTTCTGTTCCCATAAAATGGGTTGTGCGGTTTCACTCTGTGATAGTGTTTTATGCTTCTAATGTGGGGGACAAATACATGTCAGTCTGCTATCAGAAGACAAATCTGTATTGGAAACTAACTAGAGTCTTTTTGTTGTCTTCTTTCCTTTTAGTACTGGATGAATGAATATACTTCTTCCCTTGGAATTGGAGTGTTCCATTCAGGTATAGAGGTGTATGGCCGAGGTATGTACAAGAAAAACATAACTTGGTCTTTGTTCCAGTAATGCTGTTATTTAAAAAACATTTTTTAGGTAGTGGAGGAAGTCTGGCTTTTGAAACCTCTTCATCAGTTTTCTCCTTAAAGTTCTCATCCCTTCTGCCTCTGGAAATTATTATTCTCGGATACAAATAATCTGGTAGTCATCTTTGATTCTTGTATAAGGCTATGCAACTATGAAAAAGGGTGCAATTTATTCTGCTAGGCATAGAAATCTTTATTTTAGGTTTTGAAATACCTATTGTTAAAACAAATGTATCCTTCATGTAAGCATGGTTGAGTCGTGTTGTATTCTACCAGCACTTAGTGCAGGGAGTTAATTTTTAACTGCAGAAACAATAGTCTGTTGCAGATGGGCACTTAAAAGTGCATGATGCTCAGGGAAAACTGTCTATTCGTTATTGGTAGGTTGGTTTCTTTTAGAGAGACAGTTTCTTTAAAAGATATCTCCTACGTACTGTTTACAAAACATGCACTTGTGTGAAATACAGCAATACAGTACAATTTTGCTGAATAGGTGTTACTCTGGAGATGCAGCTTCCTGATCTGCTCAGGCCACTTTGAATCCCCACTGCAGCCAGAAGGCATTCCTGAGCAGGCTTTAGCTCAGGCTCGCATCTGAGGTGCTCCTGCCTACCAGCATAACGATGCTCAGAGGTGATGGTGTTCCTAAAAGTAGTCCATTTAAATAAGAAAAATTTATTTTTTCGGAACATGTTTGGAGGTGAAGTGAAGCAGCAAAAGGTGTGGCATGCGATCCAAAGACCGCATTACACAAAGTTATCTTAAACTATAGATGTTTTAGCTACTACAGTCACATTTTAACTGAGTTTACAAGTGTTATCCAAGAAACAAAATGACAAAATACAATGTTTATTGTTAAAGCTTTTTTGGATTTCTTTTAGTCCAAACCAGAAAGACCTGACTCTTGACAGTGCTGTGCCTGAAACCTAGTTCTTGAGCTGAGCCAAATACATGTGCCTCCCTTCCTGTTCAGATTATAACAGCTTTCTTGTATAGCAGGTCATACCCTGCTAGAACAATGACTTGCATTTTTCAAAGTACATCAAACTTTATTTATTAACCTGTTGTGAAAAAGATTATCCACAAAACTGAATGCTAGACTTGGATAATATGTTACAGGTTTTGAGGAAAGGAAGCATGAAGTCATGCCTAAAGCTTTTTGTTGCACTCAGGGTGTGGCATGCTGTGTTATCTTACAGACACAGAAGGAAGCTAAAGCACACCATGATATTTTCATGTACTGTAAGTGCTTATGCCAGCAGATGCTACGTGCAGACTTCAGATACATGCACTGGTTTACTTTCTTCTTATAGTAAAGAACTCGGAACAGTTGAACTCTTGCAAATCAAGAAATTAAAAAAGCCTATTAGGCCAGTACACTCTGCCATACTTTTAGCTGTAGTGCACACTGAATAGAAGTGACCTTTTATTTTAAAGACAAATGTGTATAAAGAGCATTGGTAGGATTTTTACAATTTAACTTGTAAATCCTCACTTATACACCAAAACCAATATATGCTTACTATAAAGTTACTCAAGTTAAACCTGTACACTGCTGTAGGAAATTTCCTGGTAGTTTTTACTTAGGTTGACTAGTAACTAACAAAACCATTCATTCCCAGCTCCTTTTCTTACCCATGTAAAAAAAGATGTCTGGTTTCTAGCTTTAGATCCTTGTGAAGTGATCTTCCAGACAGTGAGTCTGCTGGTTTTTACTGTCATTGTATGCCATTTTTTGTTAAATCTGAGCTTTCTCTTTCAGAATTTGCCTATGGTGGTCATCCATACCCTTTTTCTGGAATATTTGAAATTTCACCAGGAAATGCTTCTGAGCTAGGAGAAACATTTAAATTTAAGTAAGAAAGATACCTATTTTCTTGCTTTTGAGAAGGCATATTAAAAAGACAACTTGTTACGTTTATTTTTGAGAATAGATGTGTTGAATGATACTACAGGATTTCTGACTTTCTGAGAAATTAGTGTGTTTACTGAGAAATGAAAGATGGACAGAGGTGATGAGACAGTGAAGTGTCTACAGCAAAGAACATTATTTTTAGCATGCTTTAACTTCCTTAAACATGTACAAATTACGTGGACTTGTGGCTAGCTTTTGTTATTCATATGGTATATACAATGGGGTAACTTTTTCAAGGTAGTGAAATTTTTATTCAAGAGAAAATGCTGAAAAATGTTCCTCTTCAATGTTTCCCCATGTATCTCTCCCACTTTCTGAGTGTGATTGCCTTGACCCTTCCCTGCATTACAAGCTCTTGCCTGTTCTCAGACGTCTCTTAGAAACAATATCCTTTGGTGAGGAGGGGAAAATTGCAGTTTGTCAGAGTTAAGTTGCAAAGAACTTAATATGATAAAGATGAAAAGTGGTGCTGTAGAAGGAATCCATGTTATTCTAGGAGGGCAGAAGGATCTCGCCACTGACAGTGGGGTGTCTTTTGAGCAATGTATGACAATAACCCACCTGTATCATGGAAGCCTGATCACCTTCTACTCTGTTTTTCTTCTAGAGAGGCTGTGGTTCTAGGCAGTACTGACTTTATGGAAGATGATGTAGAAAAAATAGTAGAAGAGCTTGGAAAAGAATTCAAAGGAAATGCTTATCACCTAATGCACAAAAACTGCAATCACTTTTCTTCCGCTTTATCTGAGGTAAACAAACATGAAGGCCTCTAGAAAGGTGCTTCCCAGGTGGCTACAGACCATCATCTCCTTCCCGTCCTTTGGAATGTTTGGCCTAGTTTCCAGCTTCCTATCTGTGTTACCTTGTGCAAATGTCACCATTTTTCAGGTTTTATTTTTGCTTATGTCCAAAGCACAAGATTTTGCTGTCAAAAATGCTAAATGTTATTGTCATACATAGTTTCTGTTTGAGCAGGGGTGCGTTCCTAACTGAGACCTAGTAAATAAAGCATTAACAGGATTTCAGAATCATTTCGGGTACTTCAGAGATCACTACTGAAGATAAAAGCATGTGTTATTTTTATCAGTATTTCCCCACAGAGCCATCACACTGAAAATAATTTCTAAAGTTATGACCTGCTGTTAAAGAATAACAAAGGCATTGAAGTTTCACAGACAGTGTTAATCTTCTGCTTGAGAGGCTTTTGTCAAGTTATTGCTCTGCCCTCACCTGCATCCTAGTCATCTAGATACCTGAATGGTCGTGCAAAGTAGCTGACTTGGGAGTTGAATGGGCTTCGCTTTTTCCTCTCAGCTTTATTTTAACATGGTTGGTTTTCCAATATGATTGAATGCCTGACCACTCACATGTGTATTAACATGAGGGAAAGGGTAAGGAACCCAGGACAAAGAAGGGAATGGCAGTTGTGATTTTTATTGGTAGTTGGCAATCTGTGCTTCTCAGAATTTATTCTAATGTTTCATTGAAGCACTCCAAAAAAGGGATGGCTATTTTTTCCACGGTGAACTTCCATAAATTCTTTTTTTAAGTAGTTAATGGAACACATTGTATAGCCTGTGTTTTCTGTAAACTGTTTGATCTTCCAGTGGTATTGGAAAATGTTATTGAGATGATTCATGTGCAGTGGTGGTACAAGTAGGGTAAGACACTGACAATGTTGCAGCTGGCATGAAATCTGGCCTGTATGGACAGGCCAGGTATGTGCCATATTCTTCAGCCGCATGGTCATGTTGTTTCTATTTTATGTCTTGTCCTATTTAATGTTTTCAAATCGACTATAGAAACAAAGATATAATTACAAGTTAAATACTGCTCAGTTACAGCAGAGTAATGATCCCATTAGCTATGATTTTCTCCAGATTTGCACTGCAGTAAGTAATACCGGAAGTTAACATGGAGGTAGTTAAGTAAAATGGCTCACCCCTTGAATAGTGACAACAAAACCATTTAATGACTAACGTACAATAAGAAGTATTTAATGCAGCTTTATATGTTTTTGAGGAGTTGAAATCAGCTTTGCATTGAAGGGCTTCCCTTGTTCCAGTGACCCTAAGTGTGTGTGTGCTTGGCCTGTGTGCTCTAAGATAGTGATGTCCTGTGCAAAGTCATCAGAGACTATCACAGTGAATAGCCTCAGCTGTATGCGTAACTCCACACAACTGCAGCACTGACACTGTCTTTTCCACCACTTGATTTCAGGATGCTTTTTTGTAATAGTAAGATTTCTCCTGCAATTTCTGTTTCTGAGTAATTAGGGGTAAATAGAAAGCATACCTTAACTCATTTCTGTGCCTTTTATAGAAGTTGTTGAAAAAGAGTGAGGTGGTTATGCTTTTCAGGACTTCTAAAAAAAAATGTAGAACCATGCGTCAAACTCTCACAGTGGAAACAAGTCTCCTTGTGTGACTTGGGATGCTGCTTTTACTGATGGAGAAAGTTGTCTTGGTATACCTAGCTTGAGTGCTTCTTGACTGCCACCCATGATACATAAATCATAAGGCTGCTGCAGCCTTTGCTTTTTATTTACAGTACTGTAAGTTTTGTTACTGCTGAATCCAGAAGACAAATTAATTCTTTCTTTTCGCTTCCCCCCTAGATTCTGTGTGGAAAAGAGATTCCACGATGGGTGAATCGCCTTGCCTACTTCAGCTCTTGTATACCGTTTCTCCAGAGCTGTCTGCCAAAGGAGTGGCTAACTCCTGCCGCCCTCCAGTCTAGTGTTAGCCAGGAGCTACACGATGAGCTGGAGGAAGCTGAGGATGCAGCAGCATCAGCTTCCTTGGCAAGCTCAGCATCTGGGTCTAGAACTGGACGCCACACCAAATTATAAGTCCTCCTCCAAAGTAACAAATGGTTTGAAATACTTCAGTTTAATCTCTTCAGCAATTGACTTCCTGACAGAACACGAGAGCTGACTCTAGAACATTGGTTTTATATGCAAAAAAGGCTCTCATCAAGCCCTGTTTCAGCTCAGGATTATTTATGTAGTGAAAAGAATTGCTGGGAGAAAAGGGAAGGAAGGAATTTGTGTGAAGCCACCCTTTTCATTTTCACCTGTTTGGTAGACCTGGGTTAACTTAACATCTTGTATAAAGCAGAATTTAAATTATTTGTTTACAGTATTGTGTACTGCTGTTTACAAGTCCTGTAAGGACTCCTTCCATCATTTAAGAAGAGAGAATTTGAGTTTGATTAACTGTTGGTATAATTCAAAAGCAATGGTATCATGCCCTGGATGAACTCTCCCCATTTTGTTTTCAAGACTTAAGGCAGGTGAACATTAAATTTCTGAGAAATGCCAGAAACTGCTGAATATTATAGATGTGAACAGGGTACTGTGCGCTTGAAGTGGCTGATGTAAGCAGGTAGATTCCAGGATGTAAGGAGACTGGTTTTGTCTAAGATCTGTTTTTAGAAGTATGACCTCTACATTAATGAAACTGTGGATTTTTGCACATATGAAGGGAAATTTCTATCTCATTGCAATGCACATTGATCCCTTTTTTTTAACTCAGCCATGTAGTTTGCATCCTATCTTCTGTCTGTATTTACAGTCTACTTCAACCACGATTTAGACATGTGAATATCATCTGTTAAAAGCATCAACGAATTTTTCACTGTTTGCTTTACTTGATTTCAAACTTGTATATGCAAGTTAGTACTTGTATTCTATTTTTTTGTTTCATGTAGTTTGGAATAGTGTAATACGAGCCATTTATGGTTGGGGAATGGCCTTGCTTTCTGCTGCTGATTTTGCTTCATTTGAGTTTGTAAACATTTGTGTCCTTTTTTTTTAGCTATAAATTACTGCCCAGTTGTGCATATCTGCACAAATTATAGAGAAATCCTAATTTATTTTCCCACAGTCTCTGTCTGTGGCATTAACTTTCTTGTCAGATGTAATGAAGAAAAACCTGAAAATTGCTTATGCACCTGCGTGTTTACACAGCAGAACCCACTAATCTGCACACATAATTATATCTGAAGGTAAGAGATATTATTTTCGAAAACACAGAAGTATGTTTGCTGGTAGATTATAATTAGAGCTAAATTAGTGATCAGAATATATAATGGAATGCCTTATTCTTGTTCACTTACCAAGAGAATTAATGGTTCTTCCAGTCATTAGTGTAAATTAGTGAGGTTCTATTGTGCACATAAGGATACAGTAGCACAAACATGAGGGAGGTGAGCTTGTGTATTTTGTAAGACTTGCTGCCTTAAACTAACAAAAACTGTACCATCTGTAAACTGATCAGCTCACAAAGTGTGCATTACTAGAAGTATAAATGATTCTTCCAAGCTTTATTTTCAGTCTGTTGCTGGGTTTAGTTTTTCCATTAAGTGAAATACTGACTCTACAGTTTCTGCTGTTTAAAAGGAAAAAGTCCTCTTAGGAGACAAGAATGCTTCCATGTTATGAATGCTCCTAGCCATGAGTAGTCGGTGCCATTGAACCCTACAGGAAGGTGCAGTAGGTTGTACTGTAGTAAGAATTCTTATGATCACCGCCTCCGACTCACATTGAAAATGAGCGGAGGTTTTTGTGCTAGCAGTTGGGTTGAATCCTTTTTGAGACAGTCTTTAAGTTTTTTCACTCATCTTCTGGGATGCAGTGTAGGTACAGAGAGACACTCAGTTCTGGGGAAAAAAGCAAGTGGGACTCTTTTTGGAAAGAGTGCGATAATAGTACGAAGTCAGTTTTACTGTAGTTTGGTATGTGTTCTAATAATTTTTCTACCAAGTGGTAAATTCTTAATACTGACAAATCTACCACTAACTACATTCTCTGGTCTCCAGAAGCTGGATATACTGACTCCCTGTTGAGTGCTTTTTCACTTGAATCTCCTCCTTTTTTTTTTTTCCTGTAGTGAAAATGAATAAGGTGGTCTCCAGTCAACTCTCAAGCATTACAGAACTGAATCTCACACTACTTACAGCTAAGACAAGGCCGCAGACAGGTTATTTTGTCTCTGCTGTGCAGCTGTGTGGTAGTCATGTGACTTAAGTCTCTTGGCCGAGGCAGGTCCTTTATTTCAGCTCAGGGTTGAGGCCACTGATCTAGCAATGTACTGTAGCTTTTCCTAGGTTTTAGGAAAAATAAATAGAATGAATTTTCATTGCTACCTAACTTTTATGTACCAAAATCAGCTTTTTAGGCTTCTGATACATCCAGAGCGCTAGGTCACAAATCTCTACACCTTCATTAATACACACAACTACAGCATGTACAATGCAAGAACGTGACAGATCACAGCACAGTTTTTATTTAGAAGTAAAACTAAGACTATTTTTTATAAAGCAGACTGAAAAGTTTGTAACAAAAACATTCATTTTATTGGTAGCTGTACAGGTGAAAATACTGTCTTATGCTCCTTTTTTGTTTTGTTTTGTTTCAAAATCATCAATTTGTAAATCCTGTGAGGAAACTGACACCTGAACCCTGAAAGCTGTTGAGTATTGTATGAAAGCAAGTGGTACTGTAACTTCAGTTGCATGCTGTCAACTCAGCCTCCATTGGATGCCTCCAAGAAGTTGCCCTGCCAGTGGTTACTCCGATTTGTTAGCAATAGAGCAAGTTACCTTTCACCAGCATCACTGCCAAGCAGGGATTACTTTAGCCTACTAATGACCACACTGTGCTAGGACTAGAGCACTCCAAAATGCTGTGAGGAAGCTGGACACCTGTGGAGTCTTTTCCATCAAAACGGGTAGAAAAATATCACTACTTCAGGGTTCTACTCTGTTTACTTTCTCATTCTTGTTTAATTTTCTGTAAGATAGTAATTTTGATACATATTATATTCTTTAACTCAAAGTCATTTTATTTAAATGCCATTTTCGGTTCAGCAAGCCAAAAAAATCCAATGTACTGTCAATGTGCACCAGTAACTTCAGAGTGGCTTGGTAAATACATAGTTGCATTACTTCTAAAATTTGCAATGCAATTCCGATCACTATTGATACATGGTAATTTTCACTGTTGGAAGTTGGTTATAAGCTGAATATTCACTGATGCATTTTTTGTAAACTTGTATTCAAGTTTACTGTACTACATAGTATTTGTATAAAATTCAAAGAATTTTGACTTTTGTTACCTGTACATGGCAACAAGTTGTCTAGCATCTGAAACTTAAATCCATCAGTTTATTAAAAATACTTTTATAAAAAAAGACAGTTGGCTGTGTATGTTATTTCCCTGATACCTACAACTTGCTTTGTCAGCACTACCCAACATCTTGGTATCAAAGATCATCATCTTTGGTAAAACTATCCAGGGGTTTCCTCGAGTTAAACAGTTTGGTTTGTCTGAGGCCTTATTAAGACACTAGTTTTTAATAGACTAAATTCAAAGTGTGTTCAGATCTGGTGTGCTGACTACAGCTATTAGGGCATAAAACACTTAGGATATGCTTGGGATATATTGCAGATATGTGCCATGTTCTACAAATTTCTACAAAGCCCAGATTTGTAGTCTGGATGTGCACTAGACTAAGCAGCCGCAAGGCACATGGGGTCTGTAGTGCCTGTGCCTTGCCAGTTCCTTTGAGCAGAGTGGAAGGACCCAGATTACGGTGAAGTACCAGTGGCAACACCTGCCTACGCTTCTGCTACCCGTGCTGTGCTTGCTTCTGCAGCAGCAGTGCCACTGACTCAGACTGGAGAAACTCCCCTGGCTCTTTAATTAAAAAGCTGCCAAGCTATTTCCTGGACAGGGTGGCTCAGCACCCCTGCACAATTCTGTGGGGCAGTGGCACCTTGCTCGAAGCTGTGGTTGCTGTGGTGAGTAGAGCTGGCTGCTCCTCGCAGCCCTGCTTGCTGTGGGGTGCTGTGGGGCAGCTGCGCGGTGAGCCAGCTGCCAAAGTGAATTCCCCAGACATCCCCGAGCTCAGGCACCATGACTTGCTGGAGAAGCTGTCAAGGCAGAGGTGTGTTACCTTTTCAATGGGACCCTAATCGCTAGCAAAGCTGCAAGAGAGTTTGAGGAACTCATCCTGTTGGAGGGAAACGACAACTTTGACAGAAATCATCAGTTAAAATTGTAAATTCCAGATAAATTCACTTGTGGCATCCGATGGCCAAGAGTGCCTATCTGCTTCTAGGAAGGCAATCAATACACAAGAAATATATACTGCATTCTTTGTTAATGCGTGAGTAGCTGAGTTTAACTGAACTGTTCTTGAAAATAAAAATGTTTCAAGTGAAATTTCTAAAACAGTTTCTTCAGGCATGCAGGGTTTATGTTGCGAATTTGTCATCAGAACAGCTCCTCAATAGGCAAAGCTTTTTTATGGCTAAAGGCACCTTAGTCATATCACTCTTACCTAAATAAATATTTTCTTTCACAGTGCTTTATATAATACAATGAAAATGGCTATTGGACAGTTACTTTATCTGATACCCTTGGTTTGATCTAAATCAGATCATAAAAAACAACAAACTTTTCAATCTAACAACTTGTCAGGGAAGCTCATGGCATTGCTTTGGGAAAGTAGCTGTGCTCCACCAGTAACTGATTCCTCGAGTAGGAATCCTGTATTTCTCACATGATCTGGTCCACTAAAATTAGCATATCTCAAACTAAACCAGGTTCTGGCCATGACGAAACACAAGATTCCTGCACTGGCGCGCTTTTAGCTTGTTTTGGGGATTTGGGGATAGTTGAGGGCTGCGTGTATTTCCAAGTCTCCTTAGAGAGGGATGTTACTCACACAAGACCGGCTCCATCTCTGAGCAGCAGCCCAGGACAAGCAGAGCTAAGGTAACACTGCTCCTCCCTCAGGTGGAAGATGGGTGGCCAGCAGTTCTCATATTCTTTACGAAGTGGTGTGTCACTCCTGCAATCTTCAAAGCAGAAAGCCTGCTGCACTTGGTGACTACCTGCTGTGCTGCTTCTAGCCCTGTGGTTGAGTGAAAGGAGAAAAACCGCTGTTGGGGTATTCTGAATGAAGCCAACAGAGCTGAAAGAGAGGGGCTTCATATGTGTCCCATGGGGGCTGCTCAAACTGAGATGGTTTTCAACTCAAGGTCTTTCAGGAAGCCTTTTTTCTCTATCCCCTTTCACCTTTATAGAGCTTAAAACAAGGCACCCAAATACTGGACTTCAAGAAGCCATGACTGTTGCTGAACTGTTCCTGCTGGGGCTCACTGTAGCTTGGTGGGAGGGTTAGGAAGGGGTTCAAGTCATGTCAGACAAGAAAAGCCTTTCTCTCAGCCATGATGCAGGCCTTGTCTTCTGCCCCAGGCATCTGTGGGGCAGCAGTGTGGGGTTTTCAAACGCACCTTTTGGGGTGTCGTCCCAGTATAGCTGATAGCCAATACAAGTCCTCCTTTACAGTGAGTTAAATGACATGAATTGGACACCCCCTGCCAAACAGGGCACAGGCAGGTTTTTATCAGGCTCCAGCAAAATGTGGCCAACCTCCAGCACCAGGAAGGGATGGGGGGAGGAGGAGACCCTCTGTTCGCAGTGAGTGCTTGAGTGGCACAACGAATGCCATTTCAGCTGGCTCCCTCATGTTTCCCAGGTCTGAACGGTCATTACTGTTGGCTCAAGCAAAGCCAGGGCTTCCCTCCCAGAATAAGAATAAAGCCCCATTAAACCCACCTAATGACAACACAAATCATGTTGAACAGAAAATGGCTTGTGTTCCCTACTTGGGCTTCTGAGGCTTGAGGGTTTTGTTCTGGTTTTCCCATTCCTAATTTGCCTGTGGGAAACGCTGCCTCCCCCTAGCCCTCTTAACACAGGCACACAATAGCTGCTTGTTTTTTGCCTGGAAGGAATTGCTGAGCCTTTAAATAGCTGGAATTGAATTTATTTTCCTTCTGTATTTCAGCTCATTCATTACTCCAGTCATAGCATCCTAAAAGTGAAGATTTCCAAGAGCACTGGAATTTCCTTTTTTTTTTTTTTTCCAAAAGGATGCTCTGCACCTTATATTTCATGCACCAGTCCCATATTAAAGTCACTATATAATCCTGCAGTGAAGTGTCATCTTCCACAATAAGCAAATACCATCAGAGTACCAAGGACTAGCAAGAGCTGATGGCAATGTAGCCAGCTCAAATGCAACTGTAAGTTCAAATTTTTTGTGTGTCAGAGAGACTCGTAAAGTTTAGTAAAAGCACTGAAGGAGTCAAGGTGACCATCTGGGCAGAGACTGCTCAGGCCAGCTCTTACCTCCAGCACACTGGAGTGGATGGCAGAGAAAGGCCTCAGGGAGTTCCCCAGCTTTTGAGGATGCTCTCACCTCTTCAATTGCTTTCTTTAAACTGCTTTGCCCTTCCAGGAGCCTTACAGCGTCTGTGTGAGTTAAGAGGTTTAAAGGTAGGACAGTCTCTGTGGCCCAGACTGCTCCCCACACAAATGCTCCTCCAGTGAATCGGCCATGCCACAGCACGCACACAGGGATGCCACGCTCACCTCATGCTCTTGGAGTCAATACCTGGTTGTCTTGGACAAGCAACAGAAATAAGTAGCCTGCCTTTTATACTTTGTGAGGAAAGTAAGGGATTTTCTAACACAGTATTTTCTAAAGCAATATTCCCATTTAAAGAAGAAGCCAGGGTTCTGCTTGTCTCACCACAATTACATGAGGTTTGGAACAAGAGTAAAGGTGGAAGCTGCTTTTTCTGTGGTAAACTCCTGGCTGTGGGGATGGGACAGCTCAACAGTCATCATGGGGCTGAAGAACAGACTCGAGTCACTCCTCCCTCCTGTGGGCACAGGGATTGGGCTCAGGAGAATGCAGGCATGCTGAGGCACATTTAGTTCTGGTAGCCAGGCAAAGGGCAGACAGGCTGAGACAGTGGGGGTGGCTGCTCTGCCCTGAGGCACAGGGAGGGCCCAGCCACCAAGGCCAGCCAAAATGGCCACTGCTCCTTGCTGACTGGCAGAGCTTACCTTCAAGGCTAGTTAAATCCAAAAAACCACCCAGATAAAGAGAATCTCATCAACACCTGCTTGCTGAGTTCAAGGAAGTTCAAAATCCGATTAAAAAAATATTGCCTAGTGCTAGGTGCTAATTCTGATACAAGTCATAGTCTTGTTTATGGAAATGCTTCAAGTCATCCCATGGCTGGACCCAAGCAAGCATCCACCCAGCACCACCACGTTTCATGCCAGAGTAACAGTGCCAGGACACCTCAGGCATCACTGCCACGAGACAATAGCTCTCTGCTCCCTCTTCTTGCCGATCCCTTCACAGTCTGTGGCTGGAAAGAGCACCTTCCAGACAGGACAATTCAGTGAGGACATTGCACGGGCGCAGACTGATGCTAACGCTGCTCATACAGCTTTGCTCATCAAAGTTGGCCTCAAAAGGCACAACGGTGTGGTTGCACCTAATGCCCTTCAGCCATTTAAAGGAAAATAAGTAACATAACCTTAACCACAAATCCTCCCGTCTGCTGGGGCCTGGGAATGCTACAGTGGTGGGAGGGGGGCAAAGACATCTTGAGACCCTTCCTCCCTCTGGCCTTCTCTCCTGGCTGCAGACAAGCTGCCCAGAGGCAGGATGAGGCGAGATGAGGAGGACAGATGGCAGCTGGGAGAGGCACTGCACTCAGGCTGCTGCTGGTGGAACAAGCTGAAGCCTTTGGGCCTGGGCTTGTCCACCTCACAGCAATGATCAATGCCTGTGCATGTGCAAATGGAGGGATGCCCAGCGGCACAGGCCGGGGAAGGACAAGCAGGTCAGCGGTCTTCTTTCCTGTACTTGCTGTGAGTCATTTCTTGGTTTCCATGGAAACCAGCTGCTGCCGAAATGATGCTATGAAAAAGACTTCCAAGATTAAAGCTAACAGATTTGCTTTGCTCTAACAAGAGTAGCAGGACTTGTCACTTTATTGCCCTGTGTGTGGCATAAAAAACATTTCTGAGAAGTTGTGGGTACTACCAAGGCAACTTGCTGACAGCAAGAGCTGCATCACCCGCCCCATGTCACTAAGAGCCAGCACAGCCACAAACCCCAGGCAGGGGACAGCAGGAGGAGGAGGAAGGAGCAGGGACTTCCAGGTCCCATTAGCTACTTGGAGGCATAGGTGAGCACAGCTCACACCAGTACAAGAGGCAGCACTGTTGCCATCTCTGAGGGCTAAAATCTATTGTCTGCTCTGGAACAGCCTGGCCAGCAGAAGCAGTAGAAATGTATGATCATGTGGCAAGATC